GAGAGAGAGAGAGAGAGAGAGAGAGAGAGAGAGAGAGAGAGAGAGAATTACTGATAATCAGGGAAGAGAGGTATCACTACAGACCCTACAGTGAATACAAGACTCTTGAGGGGACACGGCAAACAGTGGACCAGTTGCCAGAGTTTAAGTCCCAGCTAGAGTAGTTTAGCTTAGTGATCCTGGATAAGCTATTGCTAACTTTCCAAGGCTTCATTTCCTCCTTAGAACAGTGGGCCTGGGGACTAGGGATGCAGCTCTGATAGTAGAGTGCTTGCCTAGCATGCTTGAAGCCCTGGGTTCCAGCCCCAACTCTGGATAAAACTAGGCATGTCTGTAATCTCAGCATTCAGAAGGTGGAGACAGGAAGACAAATTCAAGAACATCCTCAGCTGCATAGTGAGTTGAAGGCCATTGTTGGAAACATGAGATTCAGTCTCAAAAGAAATGAAAAAAAAAAAAAATGGGGCTGGAGAGATAGCTCGGTGGTTAAGAGCACTGGATGTTTTTCCAGAGGACACAGGTTCAGTTCCCAGCACCCACACCCACATGACAGCTAACATCCTTCTGTAATTCCAGTTCCAGTTCCAATGCCCTATTCTGACCTCTGTGGACATTGCATGACATGGGTGCACTTAGATACATGCAGACAATACATTCACACACATAAAATGAAAAATAAAATAAAGAAAAAGAAAAATGGAGATAAGTCAACCTTAACAAAAATTAAGTGAACCACCACAGGATTAGGGATGTGGCTCAGCAACAGAACACCTGCCTAGAATCCCCCAGTGAGGGGCTGGGGTGTGGCTCAGTGGTAGAGCACCTGCCTAGAATCCCCCAGTGAGGAGCTGGAGGAATGGCTCAGAGGTAGAGAGCAGTTGCTCAAAAACCCACCAATGAGGAGCTTGGGCTTGGCTTACCTGTATTGCACTTGCTTAGCATGTCCAAGGCCCTGGGTTCCATCTCCAGCAACCCCCTCCCAAGACATGAGCTGGCACCATCTCTGGCTTCCAGTGATCATAAATGTTGAATTCTTTCTTTCAAACACCAAGGCTCCTTCTGACCTGGGTGCATCCAAGGTAACCTCCACAGCCTCGTTCCTCAGCCCTCTGGCTCTGTATCCCCACTGGACAATCCTCTGTTCCCAGTCCCCAAGAGCCTGTCACACCCCAGGGCCTTTGCACACCCTGTCCTCTGCCTAAGACCCTTAGTCTTGCTTGTCTTTTATGAAGTGGCTCAAAAGTCAACCCTGTAGTGAGCTTTGCTGACTCTGTGATCACCTTCTCATGCCTCCTCTGGAGATCTGGATTTTCACAGACAACATTAGCTATTGGGTGTCCAGGTCCTCAGGGAGGCTGGACTCTGGGTAGCAGTTGGCCCTTATGATTCATTTCTGGGGTGACAGCTTCTGCAGCGTGGCACAAGCCATTTCTGTGAAAATGCATTAAGTAATAGAGGAAGAGGGGGATGAAGACATTCAGGAATGGGTTTCTGTCTTGGGGGTGAGGTTTTTTTTTTTTTTTTTGAGGTAGGGCCCCACCATGGAGCCCAAATCCGCTTTGAACTTATGATCCTATTGCTTCAGTCATCAGAGTGCTGAACAGGCATACCTCACCACACCCAGCTCAAGGATGTGTTTTTTCCTGAAGGTTCCATCCTTTCCTTTATTCATCCCGTCATCTTCCATTCCCAATTTTCCCCCACACACCCCACCTTTTTTGAGACAGGGTCTCACTAAGCAGCACTGGCTGGTGTGGAACTCCCTATGTAGACCAGGTTAGCCTCACAGAGATCTGCCTGCCTCTGCCTCCTGGGTGCTGGAATTAAAGTCATCCAACATCACACCAGACCCAGTTCCTCTTCTTGAACCATATCAATCAATCTTTCTTCTCCTCCTCCTCCAGTTCATGCTAGCTAGCCCCTCTTCCTCCTCTCCCTCCTCCTCTTCCTCCACCTCTTCTCTTCTTCCTCCTCCTCCTCCCTCCTCTTCCTCCTCCTTCCTCTCTCCTCCTGTTCCTCCTCTTCCTTTTCCAATCCTCCTCCTCCCCTCCTGCTCCCCCTTCTCAGCTTCCTCCCCTCCTCTTCCTCCCTCCCACTCCCCCCCATCTCCCCCCCTTGCCATTCCCTAGCCACCTCCGGTCATGTTCCCTCCTCCTCCTCCTGCAGGTAGCTCTCCATCCCCGCACCTCCCTTGGTGACCCAGTGAGCGTCAAAGTTACCATGTTCAGCTGGCTAAAGCGAGGCGGGGCTCGGGGCCAGCAACCCGAAGCCATCCGCACAGTGACCTCGTCCCTCAAGGAGCTGTACCGCAACAAACTTCTGCCGCTGGAGGAACACTATCGCTTCGGGGCCTTCCATTCACCTGCCCTAGAGGATGCCGACTTCGACGGCAAGCCCATGGTGTTAGTAGCTGGCCAGTACAGCACTGGCAAAACCAGCTTCATCCAGTACCTGCTGGAGCAGGAGGTTCCCGGCTCCCGTGTGGGGCCCGAGCCCACCACCGACTGCTTTGTGGCTGTCATGCATGGCGAAACAGAGGGCACCGTGCCGGGCAACGCTCTGGTTGTGGACCCCGAGAAGCCCTTCCGGAAACTCAACCCCTTTGGGAACACGTTCCTCAACCGGTGAGTGTGGCAGCCGCTGGCCAGGCACAGGGCTTCCATCCCTGACTGCGTCTGTCTTTTTGGTCTCCCATTCTCTTAATCCTGCCTGCTTCTTTCCCTCCCTCATCTGCTCCTGTCCCTTCCCTAGGTGATCCTGGGTTTCAGTTGTGCCTCTGCCCCCACAAATGCTGGGTAGCCTTGGGCAAGTGACTTAACCTCTCGGTGCCTCTCATGCTCACCTAGAAAATGAAGGTAACCCAAGGTTATAGTGGTGACTTGGGATATTCTCAGACACAGATCTGGTTGGTTTATATATGTAATATACATTATATAATATATATAATAAACATTTTATATATGTAATATATATATAATATCCGTATGTATATAATATGGATCCTATGGTTCCTCCTAAACTTCTTTCTTTCTGAGGCCTCCGTCTTCTGCACCTGCCTCTCTTCATAATACCCTTGGTATCCTTTTTTCTATCCTTCCGCCGGGCTCTGTATTAACCCCTGACCTCCACCCCCCCGCCAGGTTCATGTGTGCCCAGCTCCCCAACCAGGTCCTGGAGAGCATCAGTATCATTGACACACCTGGCATCCTGTCAGGAGCCAAGCAGAGAGTGAGCCGTGGTGAGCAAAGCTGGGGCAGTCTGAGGGAGAAGGCTGGGACTGGATCCCTGGGTCTGAGGGAGGAGTGCTGGGCCCTGTCTGTCTGGGTGTGAGACTGGACCCTTGGGTCTGAAGGAAGAGGCCGGGCCTATATATCTAGAGCTGAGGGAAGAGGGTAGGGCCTGGACTCCTGGGTCTGAAGGAAGAGGCCGGGGCTGGACCTGCCTAGGGAGGAGAACTCTCACTGCCCCTGCAGAGTAGACCCCAGCAGTCAGGGCAGCAGAAGGGAGGAACAGGAGGCTGCCATTCCTCCCCTGGTGCTGGTTGGTGGGTGGGGGAGGCATGAGTGAACACGTGTGAGCAGGCTAGGGCCACATGTCTGGGTGAGCCACACGGATGGAAAAGGAGAGATGAAGAGACAGAGACTGAGGGGTGATGAGGTGGAGGGGCTTAGAGAGCCTGGAGACCCAGGAAGAGAGAGCACAGGGTGGGGAGGCCCTGGGCCCCAGGATTGCCTCAGCGAGGTCCTGGCTAGGAGGGTGGAACGCAGATGGGGCTGAGGGAGAACCTGGGTGGGGGCCAAGGCTGGGCCTGGAATTTATAAACAGCTGTGCAGGGGGAGCTGCAGTGGGTGAATTCCAGCAGGGCCTTGAGTGAGCCTGTCCCCACCCACCAGGCCCAACCTCTGAGCCCCACTCCTACTCTGTTCCCCTCCCCAACCCCTCCCCCAGCTTCTGCCTCCACTCCAGCATCCAGGCCCCCAGTCTCTCTGTTCATCCTGCTAACCACCCCACCCCCTTTATTTTGCTGGGAAAGTAGGGCAAAGGAGGCAGCAGTGTGGGGCAGAGGGGACCCAGAGGCCAGGCAGGAGGCCTGGGCTCCAGAGTGACTGGTCCCCTGGCTGCTGTCCAGCAGCACAGCCCCTTGGGGGCAACACAGGAGGCAGCTGCAGACGCAATAGTAGCAGAGTAATCAGCAGGGAATGGGGAGGGTGAGGAAGGGGGGACAGGGAGGAGGGTCAGGGTGAGGAATTCCTGGGGCACCCAGCCCATGGGCTAGGTCTGAGACATGGAAAGGAGCCCATGGCCCCAGCCTCTGCAGGAGATGGAGTGGGTGGAGATGGGGAATCCCCCTTCCTCTGGCCCTAGGGGCACAGGGGGTGGAGTCTATCTGTACAGTGGGATTAGGGGTGCTGGGTAAATCCTAGGAAAGTGTGTTATTGTGACTGTGTGATGAGTGTTGGAGACTATGTATCTGTCTGTGACTGTGCTGACAGATGTGTAGAGTCATGACTCTGGAGTTCTATGATTTGATGGAAATGTGTGAGTGGCCAGCTGTGTATGCTGTGTGCCTCTAATTGTGATTGGATGTGACTTTATGTGACTCTGAGAGATGCTGTGACACTGGGGGACATGGTGGGATCTTGTGTAAACAGCTGTTTTATTCAGTGTTACTTCTTTGCACATATTGGATAAACACTCTACTATCAAACTGGGGAATTCTAGGCAGGGGCTCTACCACAGAGCCACACCCCTCACCTCACTGAGGGATTCTAGGCAAGTGCTTTCCTGCTGAGTCACATCCCCGGATCTTGTGTGTGACTCTGTGTACAGATGAGAGAGAGAGAGAGAGAGAGAGAGAGAGAGAGAGAGAGAGAGAGAGAGAGAGAGAGAGAGAGAGAGAGAGAGAGAGAGAGAGAGAGAGAGAGAGAGAGAGAGAGAGAGAGAGAGAGAGAGAGAGAGACAGAGAGAGAGACAGAGACAGAGAGACAGAGAGAGACAGAGAGAGAGAGAGAGAGAGAGAGAACCTACATCTGTGTGGGTCACTTGCTGTGCATTTTGGAAGGTGCATACTTGTTGGGGAAAGCTGAGTGTGGTTGTGCATGTCTGTCATCCCAGCATTTGGGAGGCTGAGGCAGTAGGATTGAAACCAGTTAAAGGCCAGGTGGACATCACAGTGATGTCTCAAATGAAAGGTATACATTCAGTCAGACCTGTGTGCTGATTTCTGTGTCTGTAATGGCTGGCTCCTCAGCATCTTTGTGATCATGTGGCCATGCATATCTGTGTAGGTCCCAGACTCTGAAACATATGTACCTGTCAGAGAACATGGGTCTGGCTGTAGGAGAGTCAGAATGTGTCTAGCTATTGGGTGCCGGTGTGGGTGTCTTACTTCGTACTGGTGGAGGTGTGGCTGCCTGGGAATGCCTGCCTGGTGTGACCACTCCCTGGAGTGTCCCTCTGGCTCACCCCCAGGTCTAGACTCTACTAGTATTTTATTTCCTTGTTTTTGGAGACAAGAGTCCTATTTTGTAGTCCAAGCTAGCCTGGAACTCACTATATAGACCAAACTGGCCTCAAACTGGTGGCCATCCTCCTGCCTCATCCTCCCGAGTGCTGAGGTGACACGTATGGGCCACCACACCTGGCTATGCTCCTTGAAACTGTAACACCTCAAGACTGTAACCAGTCCTCTCTGGGCCTCTGTTTCTTGCCTGGGGAGAAAACATAGGTGGTTCTGGGAAGGGTTAACTTAGTGCAAAGTGCTTAAAACAGCGCGTGGCACACACGGGGTGCTGGGTGCCTGGTATCCAGGACTGTTTTTCTTGGGTGAACATCTCGTTCCTCTGCCACGTCTCCATTCCCACGCTGACTCAACGTCCCTGCCTCCCTCTCCCTCCCTCCCTTCTGCCTTCCCTCCCTTTCCGCCCCATGAGACACCCTTTCCAAATCTGGGCCAGGGTGTATGTGTGTAGACACTGGGGAGGGAAGAGAGGCCAAGCTGCTAACCCTATAGTGACCTGGCCCTTCCTCCCCCAGAGAAAAGATCCTCCCCCTCCCCCTTGGCCCACAAGAAGCTGATTGCCTCCTGGGCTGGGGACACCGTCAAAGCCAGCGGCTGCCCTGATACCACCTGCTTCAGTTGCTTTAACAAGTCCCTTAGCTTCTCAGTTCATCATGGGGAGCATGGGGTCATAAAGCTGGTGTTCTGATATCTAGTGAGTCTGTTCTACCCCTGATCTCCAATCAGGACCTCAGTTTGCTGCCCTTCCTGTCCCGCCTTCCTGTCCTGCCAGCTGCCAGCTCTGTATGCCCTCCTCCAGAAAGCCTTCCTGGACCCACCCCCAGGCCGAGTCAGACACCCCTCTGGTCTCTCCACAGCTACCCAGAACCCTGTATTCCATCCTGACCATTCTAGGGGTAGATGGGTTTGTCCCCAATCTGGAGGGACAGAACTGGCCTCCCTCCTGCTCAGAGCAGGCAGGTAGAGATGGTTGGAAACTGTCTCCCCTGTGGGTCTGATGCCTCCATGACTGACTTGTTTAATGCTTACTGTACTCTGGGCACTGTTTTTTTTTGTTTGTTTTTGGTTTTTTTTTTTTCCTTGAGTTTTCTTGAAGTATGATTTACATACCAGAGAGCTATTCCACTTTGAAGTATGCAGCTCAGGGTGGACCAGTGGCCTCAACTCTTCTGTAGATGGTCTTATTTGTCATCCTGTAATTGTCACAGTAGACTATGAAGTACATCCTACTATGATTTTTTAAAAAATATTTTATTATTTTTATTTTATGTGCATGAATGTATTGCCTGAATGTATGTAAGTATACCCATTTTGTGCAATGCCCATGGAGGTCAGAAGAGGGAGTCGGATTCCCCTGGAACTGGAGTTATGGACAATTGTTAGTCGCCATGTGGGTGCTGGGAATTGAACCTGGGTCTTCTGAAAGAGCAGCCAGCCAGTGGCTCTTAACCGCTGAGCTGTCTCTCCAGCCCCCGATTTTTTTTTTTTTTTAATTTAGAGAAGGGACAAGTTCAGAAAGGTTAAGCTCCTTGCCTAAAGTCACACAGCTTGTGGGGCAGGGGTTCCTCACCGGCAGGTCAGGGGTGGGTCTCAGTCTCTCTTCACTACCCAGAGACACATAGGGAAACTGGGAGTGGGCTCAGGTGTGCTGGGGGCGTCTTTGAAAACACTTTAGGATTTAAAATTTTATGTGTGTGTGGGTTTGTTCAATGATGCATTACCTGTTGAGGCCAGAAAGGGGCGTTGGAGCCCCTTGATCTGGAGTTACAGGCAGTTGTGAGCTGCTGACATGTGGGTGCTGAGAACTGAACAGGGGTCCTCTGGAAAAGCAGCCAGTGCTCTTAACTGCTGAGCCATCTTTCCATCTTATGTTGCTTGCATTTTTTAAAGTGCACCACATACGTGCAATGCCTGAATAGACCAGAAAAGGGCATCAGATCCCCTGGAACTGGAGTTACAGATGGCTGTTAGCCACCATATGTGTGCTGGGAACTGCACCTGGTCCTCTGCCAGAGCAGCCATTGCTTTTAACCCCTAAGCCGTCTGAACCCCTAAGATTTTTTTTTTGATCTTTTTGATACAGGGTCTCCCCTGTAGCCCCCTCTGGCCTGGAACTCACTATGTAGACCAGGCTGGCCTTGAACTCACAGAGATCTGCCTGCCTCTGCCTCCCGTGTGCTGGGGTTAAAGGCATGTGCCACCATGCCCGGCCCCCTAAGTTTTTTTTTTCAAAATATATTTTATTTATTATTTTTATTGTATGTGTATGCGTGTATTGCCTGCATGTGGGAAGGTGCACCCATGTCATACAGTGCCCATGGAGGCCAGAAAAGGGCATTGGGTCCTCTGGAACTGGAGTTACAGGTGGTTGTTAGCTGCCATGTGGGTGCTGGGATTCAAACCTGGGTTTTCTGCAAGAGCACTCAATGTTTTTAACCACTGAACCATCTCTCCAGCAGATTAAAAAAATGTATTTTAGCATATTTTGGTGTGTATGCGTACATGCACAGCGTCAAGAGGTCAGTGGACAACTTGCAGATCCTATTCAGATCTTCAGGCTTGGCGGCAAGCCACTTTAGCTTCTGAACCATCTCACTGGCCCCACACTTTAAAAGTTTAGCTGCTGAAAAATCCATCTATGTAAATACATCCCTAGTGTGCCTAGGAAATGAATGAATGAATCAATCAATCAATCAATGAGCGAGCCAGTAGGATGGAAGCAGGGAGTGTGGGGAAGGTTGGGGTAATTTCTCCATCCCAGTAGCCAGATGGATTAAGGGGCTGGATAAATTCTGGATTCCAAAGGGTCGCAGTTATAAAATACCCGTGGGGCCCATTTGGCTACACAAGGATTTGGATAGTTAACAACCTGGACGTCTGTACAATCCAGCACTGGTGGAAAAGAATGGATGTGAACGGCTGAAGAGTGGGTTTCTGACTTCTGATGACTCCTGCCCCATAAACGCCTGTCCCCTGCCCACTCCAGGCTACGACTTCCCTGCTGTGCTACGCTGGTTTGCCGAGCGAGTGGACCTCATCATCTTGCTCTTTGACGCCCACAAGCTGGAGATTTCCGACGAGTTCTCAGAGGCCATCGGCGCCCTGCGGGGCCACGAAGACAAGATCCGCGTGGTGCTCAACAAGGCAGACATGGTGGAGACGCAGCAGCTGATGCGCGTCTATGGGGCGCTCATGTGGGCGCTGGGCAAAGTAGTGGGCACGCCTGAGGTCCTGCGCGTCTACATCGGCTCCTTCTGGTCCCAGCCGCTCCTGGTGCCTGACAACCGGCGCCTCTTCGAGCTGGAGGAACAGGACCTCTTCCGAGATATCCAGGGCCTGCCCCGCCATGCAGCGCTGCGCAAACTCAACGATTTGGTGAAGAGGGCACGGCTGGTGCGGGTGAGCAGGGTGGGGAGACAGGGGAGGAGTGTGAGAAGCTGGGGAGGATTGGGGGAGGCAGAGGACTAGGGGAGGCAAGGGAGGATTGAGGGAGGCTGAGGAAGACTACAGGAGACTAAGAAGGACTGAGGGAGGTTGGGGAGGACTGAGGGAGGTCAGGGAGGAAGTCAAGAGGCTGAGGGAGGACTAAAGAAGGCTGAAGAGGTGTGTAGGGAGGATTGAGTGAGGCTGAGGATGACTGCAGAAGTCTGGGGAGAATCATATTAGGCTAGGGAGGATTGTGAGAGTCTAGGTAGGATTGAGGGCGGCTGGGAAGGTCGTAGGTTAGGGAGGACTGTGGGCGTCTGGGGAAGACTGAGGCTGGGGAGGATTGATGAAGTCTTGGGAGGACTGAAGGCGACTGGAGGGACTGAGTCTTGGAAGAACTCAGGGAGTCTGGAGAGGACTGAGGGAGGCTGGGGAGGCCTTGAGGAGGCTGGACAGACCTATTTCTCCTCCCTCCTCCCTGATTGTGCAGTCAGGCACTGACCTAGCTCCCAGATTCATTCCCTCTCATCCTGAAGGGTCAATCACATGAAGAATGGAGAGAGGGAAGGAATCCCATGCAGAGGGTCCCTTTGCCCTCAGATTCCTACCTTCCCTCTCCGACTTCATCATTCCTGTTGTCCTGGTCATCCTCCTACTGCCAGATGGAATAGCCAACAGCCCCCTCATGACTCCAGCCACTCCCAAATCACTGAACAAAAGCCAAGTCTTCACAGTGGCCCACAGGTGGTCTCCATCCGTCGCTCTTCCCCTGCCTCCTCAGCTCCTGGGCCCTTTGCAACAGCCATTGCACATCACCTCAGTCCTACCTACCTCAGGGGCCTTTGCACTGGCTGTTGGCTCTTCCTGGCAGCCTTCTCCCCTCACCCATCCCCTTTCCTGGCTGTCCGTATGGCTCATTCAGATGTCCCCTTCTCAGAAAGGTGCCTTCCCTTTGATGAGTATAACCAACCCCCACTTTATCCTTTATTCTGTCCTGACTTCCCTCAGCCTCATCACCTCTCAGGAGCCACTCAGTGGGCCCCTGTTTACTGCCTCCTTGATTCAACTTGTACTCAAGTTTTGTAGAATAAGGATCTCAGAATTCCTCCAGCAAGTGTCCCCAGCACCTGAATGTGAATTGCTCTGTAAATATTTACAGAATGAAGGACACTAGGCAGAACCTCAGCTTGAACAAAGTCAACTCTGTGCCTGGCCCTCTGCTGGGAAGTGCCAGGGATGGCTCTGCCCTGCCTCCATCTCAATACCCCAAGGTAGAGGAGGAAACAGTTCAGTGTCTCAAGGCAGTGACGACTCAGCATGGTCCAGGTGTGGGCACAGGACAGGGCACCTGAAGGAATATGCCCCCTTTGAACCCACATAGACAGTTTGGGTGATTCATTTTGGATCTGAGGAAGTGGTGGGAGTTGGAACAGTGAGCATCTTACAGGCTAGGCCAACAAACCAGGGCTGTCCTTTAAGGGCACTGGGGAGCCATGCAAGGATTTAGAGCAAGAGGACAGGGTTGGACTCAAGCTGCCTTCTGTGCAGTGGATTCAAGTCTAGTGCAAATCTAGGAGGCTGGAGTACATGAAACAGGCTGGTGGAGTATGCCTGGAGTAGGCCCCACCTTGGAGAGGAAGAAGCTAGGGGGAGCTTTGCTTTCAGAGCCATTTCCATGGCCCAATGGAACATTCACCCGGGGGGCCACCAGGGTGGAGGTGGGGCAGGAAGCTGGGCAGGCGAGGAGGCCAAGAAGGTTCTAGGTGGTGGAGGTGCCCTGAGGTGTTGGTTTAAGGAGTAGGAGAGGGGTGAATCATGGCCTTCAACCCCACCCCAGGAATCCGTTTTGGGAGGGAGCGCCGGGGTGTCCAAGGCAGCTGCCCCAGGAGACCTGGGGATCCGCCTTCCTCTCACCCTCTGCCCAGCCTGTGCAGGTCTGTCTGGCCTGTCCCTGTCCCTCCACCAGCCTCCCTTTTCTCCTTTCTTCGCAGTTCCCCTCTTTCTAGCTCACTTCCTTGCCCTCTTTCCTCACCTCTCGTCTTTCTCAGGTCCCCAGGACCCTCTCGGGAAGCAGAGGCCAAAGCTGGGGTCCACAGCACTGGGACGAGTGTGGGGACGGACACCTGGCGCCCAGGCCAGGCAGGAGGTGGCTCCGGAAACCCGGGACAAACCCCGGCGTCCGACCCGCGCCCTGGCCCGGCCCCCGCTGCCTCCTTATCTCTTCCTGCCACCTTCCCCTGCTTCCTCTCTGGAAAAGCCATCAGCTATCCAACTAGCCTCGACCGTTACGGGGAGCTGCTGGGGCGGGGACACACACACTCACACACACTCACACACACTCACACACACACACACACACGACACGGGGCTCCACCCACTGGCTCCAGCAGGCCACGCCCCTCTCGGTTGGGATGCCACAACAAGCCATGTCCCTCTCCATTGACTGGTTCCAGCAGGTCATACCTCGCCCCATTGGCCCTTGCAGGCCACACTTCTCTCTAGTGTCCTGCCCCAGCAGACCGCGTCCCGCCCCATTGCCCCCCTCCCATTGACATGTCATACCCCCCCTTCTCTCCATTGGCCCATTTTCCTATGATGCTCACCTTCTCTCTGACAAGCCCCAGACAGGGCACCGCAGGCCACACCCTTCCTCATTGGCTCACATCACAGGCCACGCCCCTTGTCATTGGCCTATCCTCCCAGGCTATGCCCCTCCCCATTGGTCCTCACAGGTCTTATCCTTTCTAATAGTTCATCCTTACAGTCTACATCCCTCTCCATTGGCCTATCATCCCAGGTCATACTTCTCCCCACTGGCCCATCCAGGAAGGCCATGACTCTCCGGCACATTCCTCCCCAGTGACCCTCCTTAGCAGACCATGTCCCACACTGGCCCACTATCTCAGGCCCTGCCACATGAGGCCATGCCCTTCTTCCTCGGCCCACCCCAAAACCATGTTCCTCCCCTTTGACCCTCCCTGGCAGGCCACGTCCTCCCCCACTGGTCCATTCTCACAGGCCACGTCCTTCTCAGATCATTCCCGCCCCCCTCCCATGCCCTGGACAACCCTGCAGTTCCTCCATTGACTCTCACTGGTAGACGGCACGCAACATCCTGGCCACACCTCTTCCCTGATTGGCCTCTCAGCCTCTTCCCTGATTGGTCTTTCAGACCTGTAGGCCACACTCTCCCTCTGGTCCTTGTAGGCTCATCCTTGGCTCCCCACTGCACCCAAGACCCAGGATCCTAGACTTCAAGGTCTGCTCTGACCTCACTGCTCTGTGTGCTCCCTGGCACCCCGCACACCCCTCACAAATGCCCTGGCCACACTTGGTCCAGTTACCAACCATAGCACATAGGGCTTTAACCTCCCTTGATGCTCTCCGGCCATTCAAGGCCACAAAGAGCTCTTGGTGACCCATGTAGGTGCCTCAGTTTCCCATCTGTACAAAGCAAGGTGTGGATGAATCCTCTGGCCTCTGCCTTTTGGTGGAATTAGAAACTACTAGAAGGGGCCATTTCAGGATGCTGGAATGCTTGTGGCCAACACCTTGAAAGAGTTTGTCCCGTTTTTTTCTTTTAAAATTAATTTTATTTTATTGTGTGTATGATCACGTACGTGTGTGTGTGTGTGTGTGTGTGTGTGTGTGAACAGGTGCACATGCCACATTGCACACGTGGAGGTCAGAGGACAACTTTAGGGGGTCAGTTCTTTCCTTCTACCATGTGGATTCTGGGAATTGAACTCAGGTGGTCAGGCTTAGCCACAGGCACCTTTACATGTGGAACCATCTCGCCAGCCTTATTCTGCGTATGCACATTCAGTGATGGTGCTGCCTGTAAACAATAGACACGTCTGAATTCTGTATTCTGCTATCCTTTATTTTTCAATAATGTATGAGAATGTGGTTCAAAGGCTCCCGAGTTCACTGGTTTATCCCCCAACTATTTCCTGAGTGACACTCTGCACATTATCCCAGGGCTGAGGATAGAGGAAGCAGTCAAGGTCCTGGCCCTTCTGAACTTGTATTTGATGAGCCGAGGTAAAACAAGCCAACTGACAGATAAAGTAATGATGACTTCAGCTAAGTTGTGAAGAAGGCAGAAAGGGCCGAGATAACAAATGGTAGTGTTCAGGGTACTTGGTTTTTAACAGACAGCCTCATTGGGTTACTGGGACAGAGCTCTGGACAGAGCACAGGACATGTGCAAAGGCCCTAGGATCGGGGGGAAGGTTGGTGTGATGGTCAGTGAGGAAGGCTGGGAGTGGGAGCACTCAGAGAGGAGAAAGCAGGAGAGAGGATGTGGGTGAGGCTGCCGAAGCCAGCCAGGAAGGCAGCTGCATTCAGGACTTTGGGCTCTTAAGAATTATTGAGGGGAGGGTGGTGGCTGGAGAGATGGCTCAGAGATCAAGAGTACCAGCTGCTCTTACAGATGACTTGGGTTTGGTTCCCAGCACACACACACTGCAGCTAAAAACTATCCGTAATAGCTGGGTGTGGTGGCACATTAATCCCAGACAGGTGAATCTATGTGAGTTCGAGGCCAGCCTCGTCTACACTCCTGGGGAGTTCCAGGCCAGCTGGGACTATAGAGAGACCCTGCCTCAAAAATGAAAGAGAGAGAGAGAGAGAGAGAGAGAGAGAGAGAGAGAGGAGAGAGAGAGAGAGAGAGAGAGAGAGAGAGAGGCTGCATACCGTGATGCACACCTGTCATTCCAGCACTTAGGAGGTGAAGGCAGGAGGACCAGGTGTTCAGGGCTATCCTCTGCTACATAGTGAGTTCAAAGGCAGCCTGCACTACCTGAGACCCCATCTCAAAGAGAAGGAAAGGAATGCAGGTTCCCAGGCCCTGCCCGATCCTCTCTCCTCTGGGTGGCTGTGCTTCGGGCTCAGGTGCCCTCTGTCTTCCACAGGTGCACGCATACATCATCAGTTACCTGAAGAAGGAGATGCCCTCGGTGTTTGGGAAGGAGAACAAGAAGAAGCAACTGATTCTCAAGTTGCCCGTCATCTTTGCGAAGATCCAGCTGGAGCATCACATTTCCCCTGGGGACTTCCCCGACTGCCAGAAGATGCAGGTGAGAGACCCTGCAGACCAGCCATGGGGTGATGCGGGAGTCCCCTTCTGAGGGCAGAGCCCAGGAGGCTGGAGGGGTGGGTGGCACTTTTGTTCATGGATACCCGACTTTATTGTGATAAACACAGTGGAGATGAAAAACATCAATAAAACCTGAATTGTAGATTTTACTTAATTTTAATTCCTTTAAATTTCACTGTGGTAGCAGCTATGACAGTGAACAGAGTAAATCTAGAAGTTGCCCGAGCAACTTCTACTTACAGACAATTGGCTGCATCTTAGTCACATGACCAGACGTCCACATGGCGACAGTATGGGGCCCAGGTAACGGTCATGGATTTAGTACATAGAAGGGACAAGGCTGGCATGGTGGCTCACACCTGTAACCCCAGCAGTCAGGCTGAGGCAGAAGGATTTCTGTGGTCTGTGAGTTTAGTCTAGCTTGGGCTACATAGTGAGTTTCAGAGTATCCTATGCTACATGGAGAGACCCTGTCTCAAAAATAAAGACAAATGGGATATTGGGAGACAGAGGTAACCATGTTCAGGCCCAGGATTGCCAGTGTTGAGGAAAGTTCTATCTCAGGTGTAGCTGAATGGGGCGCATACAGAGATCTGGAGCTGGGCAGGGCAGGGCTGACCGAGCAAATGTGGGGACAGGTCATGCTCACCCAGGCAGGGACTAGTCACTGCCTGCCTCTGTCCTAAGGCTAAATTAGACTGACATCAAACTTGAAACTGTTAATCCAGTTGTTTCATCTAGGCCTGTCACCCCAGCTACTCAGGGGCTTAAACAGGAGGATGACAATTTGAGGGCCACCCTGGGCAATTTACAAAGATCCTGTCTCAAATAGTAAAATAGGTAAACGTGGCTTGGTGATACATGCCTGTAACCCCAGCACTCTTGAGGTGGAGGTGAGGTTTCAGATTGGTTACATGAAGCCCTGGCTCAGAAAAAAAAAAAAATCAAATAGGACTGGTAATGTGGCTCAGAGGTAGAGCACCTGCCTAGAATCCCCCAGTGAGGGGCTGGGGGGTGGCTCAGAGGTAGAGCACCTGCCTAGAATCCCCCAGTGAGGGGCTGGGGGGTGGCTCAGAGGTAGAGCCCCTGCCTAGAATCCCCCAGTGAGGGGCTGGGGGGTGGCTCAGAGGTAGAGCCCCTGCCTAGAATCCCCCAGTGAGGGGCTGGGGGGTGGCTCAGAGGTAGAGCACCTGCCTAGAATCCCCCAGTGAGGGGCTGGGGGGTGGCTCAGAGGTAGAGCCCCTGCCTAGAATCCCCCAGTGAGGGGCTGGGGTGTGGCTCAGTGGTAGAGCACCTGCCTAGAATCCCCCAGTGAGGGGCTGGGGGTGTGGCCTCATGGTGGGTCCCCTTAAGTTCTTGGTATCTGCATCCCTCCCTCTAGGAGCTGCTGATGGCTCACGACTTCACCAAATTCCACTCACTGAAGCCGAAGCTGCTGGAGGCTCTGGATGAGATGCTGACACACGACATCGCTAAGCTGATGCCCCTGCTACGGCAGGAAGAGCTGGAGAGCATAGAGGTTGGCGTGCAGGGCGGCGCCTTTGAAGGCACCCACATGGGTCCCTTTGTGGAACGTGGCCCAGATGAGGCAATGGAGGATGGAGAGGAGGGCTCAGAAGACGATGCGGAGTGGGTGGTGACCAAGGACAAGTCCAAATACGATGAGATCTTCTACAACCTGGCTCCTGCCGACGGCAAGCTGAGTGGCTCCAAGGCCAAGACCTGGATGGTGGGCACCAAGCTCCCCAACTCGGTGCTGGGGAGGATCTGGAAGCTGAGCGACGTCGACCGCGATGGTATGCTGGATGATGAGGAATTCGCCCTGGCCAGCCACCTCATTGAGGCTAAGCTGGAGGGCCACGGGCTGCCCACCAACCTGCCCCGCCGCTTGGTGCCACCCTCCAAGCGGCGCCACAAGGGCTCGGCCGAGTGAGCCAGACATACCCGCTGGCCCGCCATTTCACTTTGCCTAGCTATGGCTCCCCAGCTCCAGTCGGCTGCACGCAGATCCCTGCTCTGACCCCCACACACCCTGCCTGCCCACCCTGCCCAGCTGCAAGGACTTGGGGGGCCCTCCCCACACCATACACCCTAGTCAAAGCACTTAGGGAGAACCAGGGGGCCAGGACAAGATTTCTGTCCATCTTTCATACCTCCACCCTCACACACATTTGTGCTTGTCAGGCACATACCCACACCCACACCCACACCCTAACATCAACTATTCACATACATATTTTTTGCTTTGTTTTTTGTTTTTTAAGACAGTGTCTCAAGTAGTCCAGGCTGCCCTTGAACCCTCTATGTAGTGGAGGATGATCTTGAACTTTTGATCCTCCTGCCTCCACCTCCTGAGTGCTGAGATGACAGGCCTGTGCCACCAAGCCTGGTTTATGCAATGCTGGGGATGGAACTCAGGGCTTCACCCAGGCTAGGCAAGAACTCGACCAACTCAGCTATAGTCACAGCCCCATCAAGTATTTATTGAGCACTTACTGTATGCCAGGCCCTGGTGGAGCTGTGTGATCAGGAATGAGGTGTCTACATAGAAAAAAACTGATTTCTGCAAGACCCTTTTTCCCTTTTTACAAGTGGCGGCCTTTTACCCACCTGAACAAGGGCTCCCTACCCCATCATGTCCTCAGGTCTTGGGACCATTGGGGGTTGGGAGGAGACACAGGACTTCCTACTTCCTCAGATGGACCCCTCTTCTGCCCCTTCCCTCCACTTCCTTTGCTACAGCCCTGTGAATTCTGATCACACCCATTTTCACAAAAACCCTGCAGCAGGCAAAACTTCTAGCTCCATCTGGCCTCATTTTGGGATAGTTTCTATCCTCTGCCCAGTGCTCCTGGTCCCCTCAGCATGCTCTTCGGTTTTGAGACTGCAGCATCCAGCCCTTCTGCCCACCTTCAGGTCATATTTAAATGGAGCCCCTATCAGAGGTAGAAGTCCCCTTCCCCCAGACATCCTGAGAGTAGGGGGTTCTTGGTGCTAGTGCCCTCCCCCTTCCTTAAGGGGACCACCCCATATCTTCTTGTGCCTTCATCATGTAGTGCTTGACCCCGGTGGGGGACACCTTAGAAAACATGGGGAGTGGAAGGGAAACAGCTGGAGACCATGCCTGCTCCAGGCTGCCCACCGGGATTTCCATGCCCAGGACCCACCCCACCCGTGCCTGGAACGGGGCTGGGGCCCCAAGAGTGTCCCTACAGAGCCAATAAAGCCAGGGCTGCTGCTTGTGTCGCTGTCAGGCTGTCTTGAGCCGTGAAGCCCCTAGGGAAGGGGCGCCCTGGTGGCTGGGGGACCCTCCAGGCTTGCAGGGCCTGTGCAGCCTGTGACTCAATGCAGTGGAGCCTGGTGAGTCAGGCCCGGGCTGGGGGCCAGCGCTGCATATTTTCCGAAGAAAATTTACTCCAGGCCCTCCCCACCCCTCCGGGACATCCCTTCTTCCCACCTCCCGCCGCGGGGCCTGGGAACCGAGTCCTGGGCGTGGGCCCGGGCCAGTGCCAGTCCGGGTACAGTGCCACCCTTCGTCCCCAAAGCACCCTGCATCGCGCACTGGCACAGCGCGAATGCTCAAGAGCAGATCCAATGGGGGGTGGGGGTATCGGGTCCTCGGGAGGGAGGGACTGATGTCCACGTGCGTCGCCACGCCCCGGGGGCACACGCCCAGGCCTCACCCACAGCGCCTAGGACACGCTGGCCTCGCGCGCCTCCCGCCCACGCGTGCGGGTCCGCGGAACCCGGCGCCCTCTGGCGGACCATGAGAAGCCAGGCAGGCTGGTCCTAAACCCCTTCTTGGTCGTCACCTTCCCCACATTCGAGTACTGCCACGTGACTTCCGTGAGGTGCGTTCCTTCGCTGTGCCTTTTGCCTTTAAGCGTCCAAAATAGAGCTCCCCTGTATCCTAGCACAGGGCAGGAGGATGTCCAAATGGAGTCCATCCTGGGCTACCCAGCAAGACCCTGTCTTTAAAAAAAAAAAAAAAAAAAAAGTTGGGCATGGTGCAGGCGGATCTCTGGGAGATGGAGGCCAGCTTGGTCTCCATAGCGAGTTCCAGGCCAACTGGAGCTACCGGGAGACGCTATCTGAAAAAACAAAGACAAACAAACAAACAAAAAAAAAAAAAAAAAAAAAAAAAAAAAAAAAAAAAGAAAGAAAGAAAGAAAAGAAAAGAAAAGAAAAGAAAAGAGAGGAGCTGGAGAGATGGCTCAGCAGTTAAGAGCACTGGCTGTTCTGGGTTCTGTTCCCAGCACCTACATGGTGGCTAACAATCCTTAACTCCAGTTTCAGGGGTCAGGAGGCTCTTCTGGCCTCCTGGGGCATTGCATGCACCAGTGCACGTACATACCATGCAGACAAAACACTTATATACACAAAATAAAAATTAAAAAAGAAAAACGAGGGTGTGTGGTGCAGTGTGGGGGAGGCTGTAGGTCAGCTGGAACTCACTTGCCTAGATTGCACAAGGCCCTGGTTTCCATTCCCCGCACTGCCAAAATGCAAAAATGGCCATTGTGGATCTCTTTGGATGGCTGCCACTTCCTAGGGGCCTGGGGGTGGGGTAGGGGCAGGGGACGATCAGCTGGTGCTCAGATGCCAGGCACGGTCTTAACTGTCTTTGAAATAATTTGCCATTATTACTCTGCTTACAGAGAAGAAAACCAAAGCACAGTAAAATGCCTTGCCCAAGGTCAATGATCCAGAGTCTCGATTCTAAGGATGTGAATAGCCTTTTTTTTTTGGTCTTTTTGAAACAGGGTCTTCCTGTAGCCCCAGCTGTCCTGGAACTCACTATGTAGACCAGGCTGGCCTCGAACTCACAGGGATCTTCCTGCCTCTGCCTCCCAAGTGCTGGGATTAAAGGCATGTGCCACCATGTCCGGCTGTAGCATACATTTTTGATATTGCTGGAATACAATGCTCCTTGTCTCCAGCTTAGATGTGCCTTAAGTTATTTCATTTCCCACATTCTAGGACTGGAACATCGAAGATTTAAAAATTTTTATTTGTGCCTGTGTGTTTGTATGTACATGTGTGTTTGGGTGCCTGTGGAAGCCAGAAGAGGGTGCTGGATCCCCTGGAACTGGAGTTATAGGAGGTTGTGAGCTGCCCAAAGTGGGTGCTGGAAACTGAACTCAGGTTCTATGCAAGAGCTTCAAGGGTTTTATGAGTTTCATTAATCTAATAATAATCTTTAAATAAATAACACAAGTATAAAAGCCACTTTGTGGCTGGGAGTGGTGATGCACACCTTTAATTTCAGTATTTGGGAGGCAGACACAGGCCACCCTGGTCTACATAGTGAGTCCCTGGTCCACCAGGGCTACATAGTGTGACCTGCCTCAAACAAAACAAAACCAAGGCTGCAGAGATGGCTCAGCAGTTAAGATTACTGGCTGCTCTTGAAGAGGATCTGACTTTGGTTCCCAGCACATGCACAACCCCCCCACAGCATAATAATTTTAAAAAATTTTTATCTTGTGTGTATGGGTATTTTGCATGCACATATGTAAGTACAGGTATGTATGTGCAGTACCCTCTACAGGGGTCAGAAGACAATGTCAGATCCCCTAAATTTACAGATGGCTATTAGTTGCCAAGTGGGTGCTGCATGCATGTAAGTGTACCACGCACATGCAGTACACTACTATGTGTGTGTGGTGGCCATGGAGGCCAGAAGAGTACACTGGATTCTTTGGAATCTAGGTCCTCTGCAAGAGCAACCAGTGCACTGGCCCATCTCTCTAGCCCCTCTTGGCTTTTTTTTTTTGGTCTTTGTGAGACAGGGTCTCCCTGTAGCCCCAGCTGTCCTGGAACTCACTATGTAGACCAGGCTGGCCTTGAACTCACAGAGATCTGCCTGCCTCTGCCTCCCGAGTGCTGGGATTAAAGGTGTACGCCACTAAGCCAGGCTTTTTTTTTTTTAAGAAAAAAAGGTGGGGGGGAGGCTAGAGAGCTGGTTCAGCAGTTAAGAGCACTGGCTGCTCTTGCAGAGGACCTGGGTTTGATTCCCAGCTTCCACATGTTGGCTAACAACCATCTGTAACTCCAGTTCCAAGGGATCAGATGCCTTCTTCTGACCTCCACTGGCATTGTCATGCATGCAGGCAATACACTCATAAAATAAATATTTTTAAAAAAACAGGACATGAAAAATTGCTTGACCCCACCCCTTCCTGAGGAACTACTTGGCAGTTACCATTGCAGGGGGAGGAGTCTTTCTTCAGAGGTTAAGTTGCCTCTGATCCAGTGAAGAACCCCTCACTTGTGCTCATGGACACAGTCCTAATTAAGCTCAGTGCATCACCAAATAATAATCACAAAGACATGAAAAAGAGGGGGACTTGTTGGGAAGAAGGGTGGTTCCACAGTAGCTGGAGGGGACTATGAGAGGGCAAGGGTGTGTGTGTGTGAAAATGGTCAAGATACAATATATACGTGTATGAAATGATCACAAAATAAAAACAAAAATTGCTTGAGCATAAGTCCAGGACAACAGGGAAAAGCATTTTGCTTAGGATGAGAGTCAAGAACCTGTAAACCCGTCACACCCCGCCACACTCCCAGTTCCAAACACTGGAGGAGCCTGGTATGGTAGCATTAAGGTGAGGGGCAGGAAGATCAGGCTATCCAGGTCATCTTGTACTACATGACCAGTTCCTGGCCAGCCTGCACTGCTGGAGACCCCACCTAAAAAACAAAACAAAAAACGATAAAAATATGACTAGGAGACTGAGAGATGGCTCAGTGGGGTAAAACTGCTTAGCCTGAGCAAGCCTGCTAACCTGACTTTGATCCCTGGACTCCACGTAAAGATGGAAGTAGAGAACCCTCTCTCTCTCTCTCTCTCTCTCTCTCTCTCTCTCTCTCTCTCTCTATATATATATATATACACACATACACAATAATAAAATTAAAACAACCTTCAGACTCATTTATTCATTCACAAATTCATTATGAGACAGGGTCTTCCTTTAGCCTCAGCAGGGCTGGAACTTAACTATGTAGACCAGGCTGGCTGGCCTCCGTGTCACAGTGAACCATCTGCATTTGCCTCTGCCTATCTGAAATGCTGTGGTTACACGCGTGAAAAACTCTGCCTAGCCTTTTTTTATTTTTAAAATTTAGCCGGGCGTGGTGGCGCACGCCTTTAATCCCAGCACTCGGGAGGCAGAGGCAGGCGGATTTCTGTGAGTTCAAGGCCAGCCTGGTCTACATAGTGAGCTCCAGGACAGCTGGGGCTACAGGGAGACCCTGTCTCAAAAAGACCAAAAAAAAAAAATTTATTTTACGTGTATGACTGTACTGTCTGCATGTATGTATGTAAGTGCACCCAGGTCGAGCAAAGCCCAAGTTTCTTCGCCATGTGGTCGCTGGGAAACTGCAAGAGGGGGGAGAGGGAAGGGGGGGAGGGCTGCTACCCGGAGTGCGTCAGGAACGACGTCTGCAGAGCTGCGCGCGCACGCTCCAAACAGGCTTTTTATGCTTAGGCGATAGAGCGCTTCCTTTAACAAGATGGCGGCGGGAAGCAAGCGCGGCGGTGGGAAGCGTGGCTCGAAAAGCGATGCGGACTCTGGCTTCCTGGGGCTACGGCCCACCTCGGTGGACCCGGCACTGAAGCGGCGGCGCCGGGGCCCCAGAAACAAGAAGCGCGGCTGGCGGAGGCTTGCTGAGGAGCCGCTGGGGCTGGAGGTGGACCAGTTCCTAGAGGACGTGCGGATGCAGGAGCGCACGACCGGGTACGCGGGGCAGGACTTCCGGCAACGTGCCCTCGCTTTTTGCGGCTCGGTGTGAGGGCCCCCAGACTTCTGGTCCAGGGGTCTCTGGGCGGGAGATCTTCTGTTTGGGTGGGGATCCGGAAACAGGGTCCCACTGTGTAGTCCTGGCTCGCCTGGAACTCTCTATGTAGACCAGGCTGGCCTCGAACTCAGAGATCCGCCTGTCTCTGCCTCCCGAATACTGGGAGTGCAAGCTTGCACTGCAAAATGTGAATTTCAAGTCAACACAAATGACATGCATGCACCCTGACTTGGTGCGTTTTAAGGTTAGCCTGGAAGGACCTCATGGTACGAGGGAGTGATAGAATGAGTCCGGAGAGTTACACCCAACCCTGCCAGGTTAAGTCCCAACATCTGCCTAATGGTCTGTGTTTCCATCCTCCAGTGGCTTGTTGGCTGAGGCCCCCAATGAAAAACTGTTCTTTGTGGACGCTGGACCCAAAGGAAAAGGTGAGGTGGGCTTGTGGGGTGGTGTGTGTCCTCGGCTGATGGTTGTATAGACTCTTGAATCCGGTGAGATCTGTCAAAACGGCAGTTGTCTTGGCTTGTGGTACCACATGCCTGTAGTTCCAGTGTTGGAGGCAGAGGCAGGCACAATCTGTGTGAGAGCCAGGCCAACCTGGCCAGCCTGGGTACTGGTTTACATAGCCAGTTCCAGACTAGCTGGGGGTACAGGGGGACCCTGTCTCTAAAAGACTGGTCCCCCCAAAGTACAAACTTACAAAAAAATTTCTATGCATGTTTTGCTTGCCTGGTGCTCACAGAGGCCAGAAGAGGACATCGAATCCTCTGGAACTGGAGTTACAAACAGTTCGCTGCCATGTGGGTGCTGGAAACTGAACCCTGGTCCTCTGCAAGAGCAGCCAGTGCTCTTAACCACTGAGCCATCTCTCTAGGCCAAATGCAAGCTTCTTTCAAATGGGTCATCTGTAATATGAATAAGCACCTTTAATGGGTTGGAAAGTAAGCTAGAGATTATCTTAAGAGAGCAATTTTTTTTTTTTTTTTGCTTTCTTTTAATACTAAGGATTGAACCCAGGGCACTGGGCAAGTACCCTGCAACTGAGCTCTATCCCTGTCCTCTTTTCAAAAGGGCATGGTGGCACATGCCTATAATCTCAGCTCTTGAGAGGTAGAGGCAGAAAGATCAGGAATTTGCACCCCGAGCTACATGAGACCCAGTCATCACATACCCCCCCCCCCACACACCTCTCTCTCTCTCTTTCTCTCTCTCTCTCTCTCTCACACACACACACACAGACACATGTACACTCACAGACCCCCAACCCAAGAAAGAAACACAAAAGAACAACATAATTAGCCTAAGCAAAGATCCTGGGAGCAGGAAAAGGTGTTTTTTCTTGGGAAAAATCTTATATTTTTAATTTAAAATTTTATTTATACTGGGTGTGGTGGTGCACGCCTTTAATACCAGCACTTGGGAGGCAGAGGCAGGCGGATCTCTGTGAGTTCAAGGCCAACCTGGTCTTCATAGTGAGTTCAAGGATTGCTGGGGATACAGGAAGACCCTGTCTCAAAAAGACCAAAAAAAAAAAAATTACTTATTTTATTTATTTGGTCTTATTGAGACAGGGTCTCCTTATAGCCTCAGCTGGCCTTTAACTCACTACATAGACCAGGCTGACCCTGAACTCATAGAGATCCACCTGCCTCTGCCTCCTGAGTGCTGGGACTAACGGCGTGTGCCACCAAATAAATTTTATTCATTTGTATAATACGTGTGTCTACTTGTCTGTATGTGTACTACTGTGTGCATGCCTGTGGAGGCCAGAAGGTGCTGGGTCTCCTGGAGCTGGAGTTCCAGCCATTTACCAGCTACTCTGTAGCGCCTGTAGGTGCTGGGAACTGAACCCAGGACCTCTGCTAGTGCAGCAGTTGCTCTTAACCTCTGAGCCATCTCTCCAGTTAGGGTAAGCTTTAAAACAGGGTCTCTCTAAGTGGTCCATGCTTGGACCTTCTTGGAACTTCTTGTGTAGCCCAGGCAGGTCTTGAACTTGAGATAAGTTCCACTTCAGCCTCTCAAGTGGCTGGGATCCAAGCCTGTGTGTGGAATCAGGCCTGGGTGCTGTCAGGGACTCCAGTTAGAGCTTGGCCTGCCTTGATGACTCGGTTAGCAGCAAGCCAGAGTATCTATTGGCAGCAGAAAAACAAAGGCCCTGCCTTCAAGAGGCAGACCTGCTTGGGCTGGTGAGATGGGCTCTTACAAGAACAGGAGGATGCTTTAGCCAGCAGGAAGGGAACATGTCTTGACAAGCTGGCTTTTTCAGAACTTAGTGTCTGGACCAAGGGCAAGTTAGGGATTGCTCTGATGAGAGCGCTTTCAGCAATGTCAGAAAAACACTGAAAGTGGGCAGCCTGCTTCAGAAAACTGAAAACAATGGGAGTCTGGTCTGGAGGGACAGCCAATGAGAGCCCTGCTCACAGGCAGGCACCCTAGTGTCCTGTGAGATGAGTCAGAGGATCCCTTTAACGAGGATGGGACTGGCTTGACTAGAAGCCCGGAAGCTGTACGGGCACAGGGACTTGTTTCTTTTTTTAACTAGTTTTTTAGATTAGTCTTAGAGAGATGGGTTCCATCAAGACACCTTCATAAGGGTATCACTGTACTTGATTCTTCCTGGCTCCCCCTCCCTGCCCCCGGTGCTCTGCATATTTCCCCTCCCTTTCTTCCCCCCTTTTGGCCCCCCTTCTTTCTTGTCACACATATTTTACCCTGTTTCCATCCTCCCTCCTCATGGTCCCCTTTCTAGTATTTTTGCTTTTGTTTTTGGTCTTTTTGAGACAGGGTCTCCTTGTAGCCCCAGCTGACCTGGAATTTGCTATGTAGACCAGGCTGGCCTTGAACTCACAGAGATCTGCCTCCTGAGTGCTGGGATCATAGATGTGCTCTACCATATCTGGCTTTGTTTTGTTTTGTAACAAGGCCTCATTCTGCACCCAGACTGGCTAGAAACTCATTATGCCTAGGCTGTTCTGGAATTCACAGTCTACCTGCCTCTGCCTTTCAAATGCTAGGATTACAGGTTTGAGCCAAACTACTCTGAAGTTTTATTTCTAAAGGAAGTGAGTTCTTAGTGATCAGCTTTTTTTGGTTTTGTTTTTACATTTATGTATGTGTGTCTGTTCAGGTGTGTGTCTGCATGCACTCTCTTATGTGGAGGTCAGAGGACAATTTGTGTGTGGAGGGGGGCTTGGTTCTCTCCATCCTGTGGGTCCTGGGGCTCGAACTCAAGTTGTCAGGCTTGGCAGCAAGCATCTTCACCTGCTGAGCTATCTTGCCGGTCCATCACTCAGTTTCTCATGGAATATTGCTATTGTTATTTGCAATGTTGGAATGGAAACCAGGGCTTTGTGCATACTAGGCAGATACTCTACCCCAGGGCTACAATCTTGGCCTGTTTTCTTTTTAGAGCCAGGGTCTCTCTATATAGCTCAGGCTGACCAAAATCTCAGAACCCTTCTACAGCCTCCAGAGTGCTGGAGTTACAGGCTTGTACCACCATACCAGCCTGGTGTTTACAGTAGAGTTCCTGCTGTAACTGACAGACTTTGGAAGTAGAAAGCAGCATGCTGAGAGGCAGCCATAAGGAGGCCTCTTTGAGTCCCAGTGTCCCTGGCCACCTGCCCCTTCCCTGTTAGTTCTGTGGTCCTTTCCCTGCTGTATCTCTGACCCCTCCAGGTGGGTCTGTGGGTGTGCTTCCTGTGTCTCCATCACAGAACTTACCTCTTGCTGACCCAGGATATGGGAAGGTCAGGGCTGGGCCTCTGGGCTCTTCTTATGGGGTATCCTCCCTTATACAAGAGAGTCAGTCTGGGGACCTTCAGGTGTGTGTCGGGTGACCTGGTGCCAGTTGACCTGAAGTTGGGGGTTGGTTTATGGTAGTGGGGCAGCCTAAGGCTGCAGCTCTGCTTCCCACTGCAGAAAGGAGCAGGAAGAGGACTCAGGCCCAGAAGAAGTCACAGCGGCTCCAGAAACCCCTGAGGGCTGACCTTGTCCTTGAGAACCCATCTAAGATCCCTGTCCCCAAAGAGTAAGTGCTCCCCCCTCAGCCCAGGCCCTGCAGGAGTGTGGGGGTGGTAGAAGCAGCTGAGAGGGTAGACTGGGCCCAACTGGGGCTTCTGAGAGTGGTTTGCAGGACAAAAGACTACGCCAAGGCACACGTGGGGGCGGGGGGGGGGCTCTGGGTGGGTGAGGTAGGCTTAGTGTAGCCCTGGGAGGGGCAAGCTTTTGGGCCAGTCCACCCTGAGGAGCGTGGGAGTTGTGGTCTGCTGAACTCAGATCTATCCTGCCGAGGTTGGGGTGAGGTGCCAGGACCCAGTGTGTCGCCATGCTGTACTGAGCCAGATCATGAAAGAGGACTGGGCTGAGGCAGGCCCAGTAGGGCCTCCTGGAGGAAGACTGCTGAGTAGCAGGGGGAGCTTGGCTAACACCTCACCTGCTGCCCTTTGCCCATTCTCTCCCCACCCAGCATCCTCGCACACCAGGTCCCCAACGCTAAGAAGCTCAGGCGGAAGGAGCAGCTATGGAAGAAGCTGGCGAAGCAGGGTGAGCTGCCCAGGGAGGTGCGCAAGGCGCAGGCCCGGCTCCTCAACCCTCCTGCACCCAAGGCCAGGCCTGGGCCCCAGGACGTCATCCAGCAGCCCTTCTACGATCTCTGGAACCCTGACAGTGAGTGATCTGCTGTAACCTGCAGGCAGACAGTACGATGGGACTGCCACAACCAACTGTGCATATTATACATGGCCCGGGAGCACGGTGGCCAGGGGATGCCCTACAGGTCTTGGTTTAGTGATCTTCCAGCAGAGTCCTGAGTGCCTCCCTTTCCCATGCGTGCTCCTCTTTCCTGATCACGGGGGCTCCTGCCTTAGCCTGGGGTCTGTCCCCCTTCCTGAACCCTGTCTAGATATGGTTTGAGCCTGGGTTTGAGGTCCCTTTAGGTCTGAGAGTCTCCTTCCCTTGCCTGAGTCTCACTGTTGTAGTTTTAGCAGTGAGGAGGGACTGGAATGGGGCCTGGAAGGGGCCCTGGGGTCACACAGACCCCTGCTAGAGAGCCAACTGCAGGTGCCTTCCCCGTCCCCCATGGTAGAGCCCTCTGCAGCTGCCTTCGTCTTCCTGCAGACCCTCTGGACAGGCCGTTGGCTGGTCAGGATGTGTTTTTCCTGGAGCAGACCAAGAAGAAAGGAGTGAGGGTGAGGCTGTGTGGATGGTGGGGTAAGGAGGGCAGCCCCGCCAGAGCCCCGCTTTGGAATCCATCATCCTAGTGGCCTGTGTCCCTGCCTCAGCGCAGTGTTCACTGATCTTGGGAAAATGCCCTTACTTTGATGCCTCCATTCTGTCTGCTAACTGTAGAATGGGGTGACAGCTTGCTTAAAACTGCTGGGAGCTGAGGATTAAAGAGCAAACTGCTGTGAACTGTGCTGTGTACGCAGCATTGAATTTATGGTCATGTCTTGAGCTCTAGACCCTGGCTGCAGGGAGCCAGGTGCTGTGGAGTCTCGGGTCCAGCACTGTTTGAGTGACAAGTGCTGCTCCCTGTGGAGTCAGGGTGGCCTTGTCACCTACGTCCACGTGCCAGCTCAGGTCAGGCTGCTGTTCCATGATAGGAAGAGAGGTTGTGGGGGAGGCAGGTAGAGGACAGACTTCAGGGAGGCCAGAAAAAAAAACAAAGCCAGTACCCCTGACGCTTGAGGCCTGGGTGGAGAGAGGCTTCAAGTGGCTTCAAGTACAGGGCCGGAGAATGCTGTAGTCAAGGGGCGGAGGTGGCCCAGGAAGGACAGACTCCTAGGATGGAACCTCCAAAACTCAATAGGGCTGGATGTGAGGGAGCTTGGGCCACCCAGGGGACCCCCAGTACAGGGCCAGATCTGAGGAGCAGAAAGCTGGAAGTAGAGCCCCACTGGGCCAGTCCCTGAGGCTCTTGTGAAAACACGGGTCTGATTAGCAGATCCTGGGTGGCTCCAGGATTTTCTATCTTCACCTGGGAACTTTTCTTTTTCTTATTTTTGAGTCTTTTTGAAACAGGGCCTCCCTGTAGCCCCAGCTGGCCTGGAGCTCAATGTGGAGACCAGGCTGGCCTTGAACTGTCTCCCAAGTGCTAGGATTATATAGGCGTGCACCACCATACCTGGCTAACTACCTGGGAACTTTTTGGGCCACACTGGGCATCAGAAAAGCACTGGTCACCCACACCCTGCAGTGACACCAGTGGAAGGCTGGCAGTGTGCTAGAACCTGGAAGTGTCCAGACCCAGCTTGGAACATGTGCTTGGAACCCCTCTCCCTGGGCAGTCCTGTGGCTTGTCCCTATGAGAGGCTAGCAGAGCCCTGTCTGTGGGGAGCCTGTTCATACTGAAGACAGGTGTTCCCTGTGTAGGTGCCAGATCCATAGGTGACCGGCCAGCCTGCAGTTCCCCAAGCCTTGGATCCCAGCATCCTGGTCGGACAAACTTGCATCTTCTGGGCCATCTCAACCCCTTTATGTTTCAACAATACATTCCTGAGACTCAGGGTGATTGATAAGCTGTAGGGTTGCTGTTCCTGTGAGGGAGACAGATTATCCTAGAAGAGTACCCAGGCTCTTGTGTAGAGGGGCCTGGTGTCACATGGTGGAAGGCCAGATTCGGAAAGGGGAGCAGGGTGAAGCCTCTGGGAGGGCTTTGGTGCCGCTGCAGCTTGCCTTCTTAGTATTCTCACACCGGCCATTGAAGATTGGGGGTAGGCATTTTGGGGCACATTCATACCATGGGACTCACCCTGCCTTCCTGGCCCTGTCTTCCTCTAGCGGCCACCACGCCTCCACATCAAGCCCTCTCGGGTGCCTGCGGTGGAGGTGACACCTGCCGGGGCCTCCTACAACCCAACTTTTGAAGACCACCAGGTAGGTGTGCGGCAGGTGCCTAGTCAACCAGGTGCAGATAACCCTGTCAGCTCCCAGCAGTCCCTCCTTCCCATCTTAGGCCCTGCTTGTTCTTCCATGGAACTTGTCTATTTTTTAAAAATTGCGTGTGTGTGTGTGTGTGTGTGTGTGTGTGTGTGTGTGTGTGTGTGTGTACACACATGCACGCGCCAGCACAGGTGACTTCAGAGGCCAAAGGCTTCTGGAGCTGGAGTTACAGGCAGTTGTGTGTTGTCTAAAGTGGGTGCTGGGAATCAAACTTGGGTCCTCTGGAAGAGCAGTGTGTGCTCTTAACCACTGAGCCATCTCACCGGCTGGGAACTTGTCTATTTGAGACATTGCCCAGAACCCAGTGTGGTGTGTGGGTGATGGTGGGCAAGTCAGCCCCGCTGGCTGTGTGTGGAGGGCAGATCCTTGAGCTGGGTCCCTAGCATGGAGTGGAGACCGGAGGGCAGTCCTAAGACTTTCCCATTCCCTCCCTGCCCCAGGCCCTGCTCCAAGAGGCGCATGAGGTGGAACTGCAGCGGCAGAAAGAGGCGGAGAAGCTCGAGAGGCAGCTGGCCCTGCCTACCGAGGAGCAGGCAGCCACCCAGGTGGGCCATCCACCATCTGTGCCCACCCTTGACCCCATGTGACTCCGCCAGCCCCACCTGATGACCCACCCTGCTCCCCAGGAGTCTGTGTTCCAGGAGATGTGTGAGGGCCTACTGGAGGAGTCCGATAGTGAGGATGAGCCGGGCTGTGTCAAGCGGCTGGAGGCGGAGGATGGGGCTGAGTCCTCACCTGCTGGCCCTGCCCCTTCCACTGCTGAAAGGAGGATGGAAAAGAAGACAGAGCAGCAGCGGCGGCGAGAGAAGGCTGCCCGCAAGCTGGTGAGTGCCTGTCTTGTGAGCCTATGCCTGCCCATGGGTCTCCCGAGTTCTCCACGGGAACCTCTGGCCTTTGGGGGTGCTCCCTTAGAGAGGTGGAGGGGCTGTAGATCAAGGTGTCTGATGAGACAGTTGCAGAAGACAGCTGCTGAGTGACCAGAGGTTAGTAGTCAGCAAATAGGAAGCCATGACTTAGGGGCCCTGGGCAGGGAAGGCCCCTGAGCTGGGTAATACTAGGCTGAGCCCTGGCCCTTTGTCGCTAGTGGGTGCAGCAGACTGCATTGCGGGCAGCGCGGCTCCAACACCAGGAGCTCTTCAGGCTGCGTGGGATCAAAGCCCAGGTGGCCCAGCGGCTGGCAGAGCTGGCACGGCGGAGGGAACGGCGGCGGATGCGGCGACTGGCAGAGGCGGACAAGCCCCGAAGGCTGGGTCGGCTCAAGTGAGGCCCAGTCCTGATGGGAGGGTCTGTGACACATCTTGCTGTCTTCCTGGCCCCATGTAGTTGAACCCCTGAGAGCCCTCAACCCCATGTTTTGTAGGTACCAGGACCCCGACATAGATGTGCAGCTCAGCTCCGAGTTGACGGGCTCGCTGAGAACTCTGAAGGTGCTTATCAGGGTGACAGGGTGCTGTGGGGTCCTGTGCCCAGTGATGACACCATCCTTGCTCCCCTTGCCCTCAGGGGCTGTGGGCGACAACATGGCTGCCCTTGGGCTGGGCCAGTTGGGCCATTGCCTGGGGGCTGAGGGCACAGGGTCCTGGGTAGGAGGGACAGATCAGGTGTTGGTGTGAGCCTGTGGCCCTCAGGAGGCCTTTTTTCACAGTCCACCTTGCCCCACCAGACTAGTAGGTCTTCCTGAAGCTGGCTTGCCCATGTCTGGGGCCTGGCTTGGCCCTGGGGCTCCAGCCACCTTCTTGCAGCCCCGGCCTTTGGCTCTGAGCCTAGCCAGGGCAGCACTGGATCTGAGCAGGCTGGGGTTGGGATGCTCCTGAGGCTGCTCTGGGTGGGGGTTTTGGGGCTGCTGAGCCCCACCTGAACTCTGAGGCCATCTGGGACTCTGCTGAGGCCCCTCTCCATCTCTGTCCTGCAGCCTGAAGGCAACATCCTCCGGGATCGGTTCAAGAGCTTCCAGAAGAGAAATATGATCGAACCCCGGGAGCGAGCCAAGTGAGACCCCCAGAGGGAGGGGATTGTGGGAAGGGAAGGTGACCACACACCAGGACCCCTGACCTTGCGGATCTGAGGGTTGCTCACCACACTCTTCCCCTTTTCCAGGTTCAAGCGAAAGTACAAAGTGAAGCTGGTGGAGAAGCGGGCCTTCCGGGAGATCCAGTGAGTGGGCTTCCCCTGCAGGGCCAGCTGGGGTGGGTCCTATGAGTGCTCTTTGACCTGCCTCACCCCAGAGCAGCCTTCCTCCCCTGTGAAAGCTGCCCGTCCTAGGGCCATCCCAAACTTTAGAAGCAGGGTCACCCAGCAGGGACCTGGAATCCAGAGTGGGGATAGAGAGGGTCCCCAAGAGAAACCAAGGGGCCCATACCAGAAGGGGGGATGATTAGGCTGGGTGTGGGGCACCCCTCGCTCACCGCTCAGTCCTGTCTTCTGTCCTCAGGTTGTAGCTGTGCAGATGCCAAAACCCCGCCCTTCAATAAAGCACTGTGACCAAGCCCTGGGTTCCCCTTGCTTGCTTCTCACACACTGCCTCTCTCCTGAAGTCTGTCCTCCCTGGCTGCTGCCAGGACTTCAGCACTGCTCCAGCAGAGCCTGCCACCAGTGCTCAGTGTGGGGCTGCAGCAGGCCAAGGGAGATCTAGAAAGAAAGCTGTTGAAGAGAGGCTCTGGGGCCATCCCTAGAACATGAGAAAAAAAGAGTGGATAGGGAACATGAGGGAGAGGCTATACTACCCAAAGAGCAGCCACCTCTCCCTGAAGCAGGTGGGTGAGGGCATCAGCTCTCATCCCTTGGGAGGTGATAGGGCAACTGCTCCACAGAGGTCAGGCCCTTGCTCTGTTCCAGCCCTAGCTTAACTCAGTGAAGTCCAGCCCAGCTACATATGTTCCCACCCCAAGGGGAGGAAGCAATTTGGTCATACCAGGCCACAGAGCCCCAAACCCTTTGTGTGCATGTAGTCCACTGTGCACATGTGATCAGGACAGCTTGCAGGAGTCCTTTCCTACCCTGGGTTCTAGGGATGGAACTAGGGTTGGCAGATTTGGGGGCAAGTGCCTTTACTCCCTGAGCCATCTTGTGGCTTCCCATGCCTGTTTTTAACTGACTCCTGTTTCTGTGGTGCTGAGGCAGGAATCCAGGGTTTTCCACAGGCTGGGCACACTTCTGCTGAACCAGACCCAAAGGGTTCTAGCACACAGTCAAAGATGCAGCTGAATTGCAGGCTCAGTCTCTGGTTCTTTCTAGCCCAGTAAAAGCTGCCGCCCCCTCCCCTGTTTGCAGGTTTTGCTACTATAAATCCAACTTTTCAGTTTGTGACTGGTTGCCAACTAAGCTAAGAATTTCTTCTGCCTGGGTCTGTTTTTCTGTTTCTGTGATTATTTTTTATTATGGCCTTTGGGAAGTTTCAGGATGAGATCTTCATAAAAACAGAGCAAGATGATTATAAAAGAAATGGGTGAAAGGAGAGACCAGCGTCATACCCTCCCACCCCCACTTCCCGAAGAGCTTAACGGCCTTAAGTCGATTTCGGTGTTCCCTCTCCTATCTTAAGGGTGTTCTGTAGGTGGGTGGGTGTGGGAGGGGACAGGTGGTGGAGGCAGTAGGGAGAGGCAGGAGTGGACCACATTTAAAAGATGAGATGGAAGTAGCGCCTTCTGACCATCTAAGGAAGCCCCCGCTGGGGAACATCTCAGCCACCAGCGAGTGAGTCAGGGTCTTGGTGAAGAGGGAAGCCCAGCGCCACAGGAGGTCCTGGGACTGCGCGTCGGTGTGATGAGGCCCCAAGTGCAAGTTCTGGGACCTGGACCTTGACAGCAACCGGTGGAATCCAGGCCTGGCGACTGTCCGGAAATGGGCGTGTTCCGCATGAGTGTGGCACAGGCGATGTCCTGCATCTCCATCAGACAGACCTGGGGAAAGAGTAGCCCAGGCTGCCGGCCCTCAATCATGCCGATTCCTCAGAGATGAGTGAGCCCGGTGGGGGTGGGCAGGTGCGGCAAAGCTATAACCAGGAGGAGCAGATGGCCTGGCCGGTGATGGGAGTGGCTGAAGAGACGCAACCCCGGTGCTGCAGGCTGACCGGCTCTGGTCCACCCTGTGTGAGGTCGTGTGGGTGGCTCGACCGCTCTGCTTTCTGTGCAGCATGGATGTGACCATGTCTCACTGGGTTAAGGTAGAGATAAAGCCTGCCTGTGAGAGTGATTAAGACGGGGCCGTTCTCTCCAGCCCTGTTTGTTGAGTGCTGGGATAACAATGGGGGGAAAAATAAAAGACGTGGAAACTCGTGGTCTGTGCCAAGGACGTCTCACAAACACCCTGACCCTTTTGCACGCTGATCTCACTCCTGGGAACCGTTCTAAGGAAACAGCCACGGATCTGCAGGAACGCTTACCCGTCGGGTGCAGGGACGGGGAGGACCCTGGGAGAAAGGGAGGAAGCCTGGCCGGAGGGCGGGGACCCGGCCCCTCCCCCAGGAGCCGCCAAGCCCCACGCGGGCCCGGAAGCGCGTGTGCCCGGGCTGTTTGTGTTCTACCGGGTGGGACAGAGTGACCAGATCGGACGGTCCACCTGGCATGCAGTCAGCAAACTGTGCCAGGTTGTGGGGGCGGCGGATCCCGGGGAACTAGTTATTTTTTCCCAGTGTTTTCGATTTCTCTGTACTGGATCATTTTTTCTTACTTTCTAGATAAAGGCCCAGGGTTGGGGGTGTGACTTAGTTGGTGAAGTGCTTGCCTAGTACGCACGAAGCCCTGGGTTCCATCACCTGCACGGCAGAATACAAATAATACCCAACTGCGAACTTTGGGGCAGATGGAAACTCCCACAGACTTAAGGAAGAAGTTGCCTGGGGATCCAGGGTCAGTGAATGACGTTTTAGCTGCTCCGGGGCAGGGTGTCGGTGAAATGCCCGGCCCCGCCCCGTCTCCGCGGAGACCTTAAGAGTCGCAGCAGGAATGACTTGGAGGACCTGCCAGGGGAACTCCAGCAAGGAGCTGACCTTGCTGAGACCCGCCTCATGGTGCTACGCGTGGTCCTGCGTGACATTAGTGTCCCTCACTGTGCCCCCGACCCCCATGTGGACCATTAAAAGCAGGTTCGCGAACAGGGCTTCTGCGGACAGTGGCCGCCAGGTGGCGTGCTCAGTCTGCACCAGGAGCCAGTATGCTAGAGGGTTCCCGCTGAACCCTAATTCTTAACTCTAGGACACTGAGACGCCCCCCGCCCCCATCCAAAGGCCGCACTGGCAAACAGACCCCGGAGGACCCACAGGGTAACACTGCTTCCGGAATGGGCCGTAGCAGGTCCCCAAAGGCTCCTTTCGAGGCCGGCTCAGGGGGGCTTCTGGGCCTGTTGGGGGCTGCATTTTGGAAGTCAGTCAGTTACACTTCCGTGATGTTTCCGCACTAGTCACAAACTCCTTGTGCTCTGGTGGCCACCAGGACCACAGCCTGGAGCAGGAGACAGAGCTCACGCAGGGGTTCTTGGAAGTGGAGAAGGTGGAGAGGGACTAATGAGATGGAGGTAGAGTAAGGAAGAGGGTTCAGTCAGGGAGCTGTGCACTGCCAGATTGAGACAGTGTCCAGAACCCCAAGAGGCTGGCAGCCACCACTATCACCCAAGGGATGGAATCCTCAGGTGTCACATATCTTAAAGCCAGAGTGGTCTGGGATTCTACCCAGGTTCTGGACTTCCAGCCCTATGAGCCACGAGTGGCTGTTGGAAGGAGCAGAGGGAGGAGGTGAGTCATGGATTCTCAATAAGGGATGACCTCCGAGCTGCTTGATCCAACTGTGCCTGAAGCCTTAATTTGGACTTTGCAGTTTTAATCCATTCAAAACAGTTAATTCAGATATAGGTGGCCAGGGCCTTGTGTGAAACAACCCTATACTCCCTAACCATCCTCCCCAGTTTCCCCCTCTGCTCCCTGTCACTGGTGAGACCACAGCCAGACCAAGTTCACCCTCCTTGCCCATCCTGAGAGATGTGCTACCCTATTCCCCTTTCCCTGGGCTTCTCATCTCTTCCTCAGCCCCCTCCCCCTCCTCCTCTTCCTCCTCCTTCAGGAAGTTGGCCTAGATTTTGTCCTTCTCTCACTCACACAAGGCAGAATCAGGGCCAGTTCTCAGCGCCCACCTAAGAGTTGGAAGGTATGTAGTTTCCATTCTGCTCTGCCCAATTTGTCTTCTGTCCTCAGCAATGCATAGCTGGGGTCTCCTCTTAGAGCCTGGACACTAACTGTTAAGTGTGGGTAATGTGCACCTTGCATGTAGAAGGTGTTTAACAGATATCTGCTCCTGCAGGTGGTACAGACAGTAGCTAGGAAGACTCCAGGATCAAATCCTGGCTCCATTACCAGCTGTGTGGCTTTTGGAAAATCTCTTAACCTCTCTGAGCCTCAGGAGAGATACTGGCATTTAATATTAAAGGAGTTATGTAGTGGGTATATAGGGGTTTATAGCTGTAATCCCAGCACTTGTGAGGCTAAATAGAAAGGGTCTCATGTTTTAGGCTAGCCTGGGCCACATAGCAAGACTCTGTCTCTGAGTAAATTACTAAGAAAAAGATCATGAGGTGGCCGGAAGGCACTGAGATGACAAGTCTAGAACCGAAGTCAGCCCTAGTCCTGAGGAGAAACATGCTCTGGGAGCCTAGGTGTCATGAATTTAGCAGGACCAGCTCTGAGTCCCCCAGTCCATCTGCTTCAGCCAGACATCAGCCATAAGACAGGTGTGGCCACCCTGCTGTACAGTGAGTGTTGAACAGTAGGAGAGACTTGAAAAGATAGGAGAGTAGTGTGAGAGAAGGTTGCAGACTCAAAGAACTTGGAGGGAGTTTCACCTGGCTAAACTGCCTACTCATCTATTTCTCCATCAACCCATGCACCCACCAGTATGGGCATCCATGTATGCATGAACCCATCCTCCATGCATCCCATCCATCCATCCATCCATCCATGTATCCACTCACATACCCATCCATCTATCCAACCATTAATGCATCATCCATCCATACATCCACCCATTCATCCATCTACCCATCCATGGATCTAGCCATGCACATCCATCCACACACTCAACCATGTATCAGTTGACTTATCCCTCCATCCATCCACGCATTCACCATCCACCAATCCATCAATCTCTGTATCCACCCACCCATACATCCACACAAGCCCTGACCTATCTATCTATCTGCCTATCCATGCAGCCATCCATACATCTGTATACCATTCACCTATCCATCCATGCCCTCATTCATTCATCTGTGCATCTATATACCCATCCACACATCCCATTCATCCATCTACCCATCCATGGATCTAGCCATGCACATCCATCCACACACTCAACCATGTATCAGTTGACTTATCCCTCCATCCATCCACGCATTCACCATCCACCAATCCATCAATCTCTGTATCCACCCACCCATACATCCACACAAGCCCTGACCTATCTATCTATCTGCCTATCCATGCAGCCATCCATACATCTGT